ATAATATGCCTTCTTTTCCCACTCTTGTTTCTATAAAAATAGTGAGATCACACAGTTTTATTTCTCAGTCTGACTTGGCATTAGAGATATTCTTTTGTTTTTGTTTTCATACTGTGATTGTTTCTATATTGTTTATCCTTAGCAATTGTGTTCCTAATGAACACAATTTGTGACTGAATTTTGTTACTTTTGTTTCAGAAATAAATGATTTCCAAATTGAATTGACGATATTAAGAGGAAAAAGTTTTAAACTCTGTATGATTTCAAAATTTAATTTATGTTATTAAGAGGGAAAAGTTTTCAACTCTGTATGAAAATCAAGGTATTGTGTTGGCCAAAAAGTCCTTTATATTTTTTTCCATATGATGGCTCTATTAGTGCTTAGTTTAACTTCATTCAAAACAATTTTGTTAGATTGTGACAGCTGTCATATCAGCGTGCATTAAAAAGAAACATCAAAATTGGTGAATTTTTGTGCAGCCATTTTAAAATTGAAGATGGAAGAAAATATGCAACATTTTTAGTGTATTATGCTTTATTACTTCAAGGAAAAAATGAACTGAAACATAAAAAATGATTTGTGCTGTGTATGGGGAACGTGCTGTGGCTGATTAAATGTGTCAAAAGTGGTTTGCAAAGTTTTTTGGTACTATTGACATTTTGGCCAAATAATTCTTTGCTGTAGAGCTGTCTTATGTATTAGAAGATGTTTAGCAGCACCCCTGGCCTCTGGCCACTAGAAGGCAATAGCAGGAGGTAGCCAACACACTCAAAGTATCCAAATCAGTAAAGTTAATGGTGAAAATGAACAAAATATTTTTTATTTTAAAGAAAACTAAATGGACTTTTTGGCCAATCCACTCCACGTACTCTGTTCACATCCCCCAACATATGCCACAGATTTCCACCACCCTCTTTTGTGTTGTTCTTTTTGTTATTTGGAAATATTTTCCAACTTACATAGAGGTAGTAAGTCCTGTTACCCAGACTCATTTCACTAGCTGTCCCAACAATGTCTTCTGTAACAAAAAGATCTAGTCTGGGAACATGCTTTGCATTTAGTTGCTGTGTCATTTGATTCTTCACTAAACCAGAATAAGCCCCTTTTTGATCTTCATGACTTTGACTCTTTTGAGGTGTGCAGGCCCATGGTGTTCTATTCTAGAATGTTCTTGATTTGGTTTGTCTCATATTTTCTAGTGATTGGATTTAGGCTGCTCATTTTGGCTGTAGTATCACAGTAGTGATGCTGTGTTCTCATTGTATTAGGAAAAGCTTTCCCTTCTCCCCACTTATTTATTCACTTTTTAATTTATATCACTGAAGGCACAGTGATTCTTATTTTATTCAATGATATATAGTGTGCCACTATCATTATTTGTCTGATAATCAAATTGTCTCAGAATTGGCTAAGGGGGTCCCCATTAACTAACTTTTGAAACACCCCCATCATTCTTTGAGTACATCTTAGTTTTTGGTTTAACAAGACACCCCAGACTCATCTTGTACTTTCTATTCCAACCTGAATTGAACTATTTCTTTGAGATGCTCTGGTACCTGGTATTTACAAGCCAAATTCTGGGTATTTAATGTGCACCATGCTATGAGGGTTTTGTTGATCCAGGACCCTCTCAGGGAACAGAGTCAGGAAATATATCTAGGTTTATGCACATGGGAGTATTTTCACACACACACACACACACACACACACACACACTTTTACTTCTATATTCATCTATCTATCATCTATCTATATATCATCTATCTATATCATCTATCTATCATCTATCATCTATCTATCTATCTACATACCTATCTACTATCTATCTCCATAAATTTAGACTGATACGTTCAGCTCTAAACAAACACCATAGAATTCATTCTAGCTCTCCCTCTTTTAAATTAGTAACTCCCTTTTTAGGCCGTGAAGAACCTGGCTCCATATCACCTCAATATATTTATTTATTTAATCAGTCTACCTATACTTAACAGCCTTCTGATTGCTCTCTGGCCACATTCCTTATGCAGGAGCCTGTCTTAAATTCTTGCAGCTACATAAGACGAACCATTGGCCTTTGATATAAACACTTCTCCATATCTGTTATGTCTCTGTGAGCGTACACACATATGTATTGGGTTGACCAAACTGTCCTTTAGATTTTTTCCATATGATGGCTCTAGTGGTGCTTAGTTGACTTTAACTTATCAGAAACAGTTTTGTTAGATTGTATTGTGACAGCTGTCATATTGGCGTGCATTTAAAAAGAAACATAAAAATTGGTGAGTTTTGTGCAACCATTTTAATATTTAAGATGGAAGAAAGTATGCAACATTTTTAGTGTATTATGCTTTATTTTTTCAAGACAGGTAAAAACTCAACTGAAATGCATAAAAGATTTGCGCAGTGTATGAAGGTGTTGTGGCTGATCGAATGTATCAAAAGTGGTTTGTGAAGTTTGTTGGTACTATTGACATTTTGGCCAAATAATTCTTTGCTATGGGACTGTCTTATGCATTGGAAGATGTTTAATAGCACCCTAACCTCTACCCATAGAAGCCAGTAACAGGAGATTGTTGACATACCCACAATATCCAAATCAATAAAGTCATTGGTGAAAATGAAAAATGTGTATTTTATGTTATGGAAAAAAATATAATGTACTTTTTGCCTACCCAATATAAAACTGACAATTTAATGGCAGGGAAACACTGGTTTACCCCACAGGTAAGCTATAACCATAAACTTATCAGAAATGAATTAAATAGACTATATCTTCAATTAGTGAACAAGCTAAATATTGTAGTGATATTTACACCTATCATTCATTGCTTTTAGGATAGAATTGCTCTTCAAATAACAGCAATATTTAAAGATTGGTTAATTCTTCATTATTAGTAACCATCTTCTACATAATTATCTGCAATATATTTTTTAAAATATTCTAAATTCAGAAGTGAGTTTTGAAACTGTTGAGAAAATGTGTATCAGGCTATTAGTTTTTCACAAAGACAATTTTCTTTTTTTATAAAAATAGATATTTTTATAAAGTGTAAGAGATTCACATGATATAAAGAAGATAAAATCCATATCGACTACAAATAACAAAGGTTTGTAATGTGTTTGCATCACAAATAGTATGCAAATCACTAAGTGAAACCTTTACATCAGTAGAGAACACTGTCTATATAGTTGCTGAAAAAATATATTGAAATGCACAGGGTTGCTAGACAACCCATAGCCTTGCCATATTGTTGTCAAAATCTGAGGTAGGACTTTGTAGGAGTTTGCTTGCAGGCTATGAGTTTACTATTTCCCTGTAATATGGTTGTTGGTCAGTGGTTAAATTGCTCTATTTTGTGCTCTAGTATTTACATTTACATTACAGGCCACAGTGTGAAGGATGTTTCTTATTAGTGAAGCATCTATGTTGACTTCTATTTGCTCTGTTGCTTGTATCATGATTATAAAAAGTTTAAGCTCTGATATAGACACACCTTAACATATTTATGAGTTGTTCTTCTTTTGTGTTTACTTGTTAAGATTGTTTATGAAATTGATGACCCAAAAGAGATGGGACATCCTAAATACTGTGGGAGCACAACTAACTCAAGCAGGATGATTGATGTCTAGGCTCTTAAAAGTGACCCTTTCCTACCAATATGACTCAGTCTCTGCACCCAGTCACAGATTTCTCTTTCTCTTTCAGATAGACTAGCATTTAGAATATAGAGATTTTATACCTGATGGGTTAGTTCATTAAATCAAAGAGTTAATATATCTTTGACATGTTTGGATTGAACTTTTGAACAAATAGCAAGTGACCTCAACTGTTTTGCTTTGGGACAAATTTAAATCCCTCAGGGTGTGTAGTCTATGCATGGGACCTATCAGGCACTCACTAGTGAAACAACTTAGCTGATGCTATTAAATTTGCAGCACAGTGCAACCCTGTCTCTCCTTTCTGTTATTACAGTCGCAGTAACACAGTTAGGGAAAGTATATGCTTAATGATATTCTCAAATTTTAGCATTCTTGAAGCCTTTCTGTCATATTTCTTGCTAAGATCAAGTGTCCAACGCTATATTTTCTCTACTTTTGTAATTCCAACAATATTTTTGAACAGGTGGGTTACAGTTACATTGAAATTGTTGATAAATTGTGATATTGCTTTCTAGTTCTTAGTTAAGCTTCCTTCCTCCCTCCCTCCCTCCCTCTCTTCTTTATTCATCCTTTTCTTTGTTTAATAGGCTCTTGATCCCAGACCTGTGATTATTTTGTTCCACAGAATCTTTATTTTCAGTGTCCTCCCTCATTCTTTCAAGGCAGTGTTCCTTTATGCTATAATCAATCTTCAGCACATATATTTTAATTTAAAAAAATCATGTATATTCTATCACATTAGTTTAGTGCTTTCATGTCTGGTATTTAACTTGATTTCTATTTTCATGACCATATTTAACTGTAACACTAGTTATCTGTGTTATAATATATTGCAATAATCAGAAAGACCTGAACTGAAAATGAGCTCAGAAAACTACTAACTATGTTTGTACATACTTAAAACTGGGCGCTAACAGTACCTATTTTACCAGTTCATTTAACATAATGAACAAAATAATGTATTACAAATAATGTATTCCAAACCAGTCATAAGCGAAGATGGATAAATGTTAAAATAAATTTCAAGAGGTACGGATCTTTAACTCTTACATTCACAGGCTCCTAATACAGTACCTGGCACATAGTAAGTACTCAATAAATACATGTCAGCAGTTGCCTTGTCATAGTTTTTATGCTGCTATAGCCCTCATCTCAGTGCTTTGGCAATTAAACCAAATGATGTGCATGTAAAGTACATAATAAAGGGTCTGATACAAAGTAGGCGATCTAGCTAGAATTATATTTTTAGAGATATATTATTAGGCCAAAAAAAATGGGTGAGTGTTCTTGGGAAAACATCTTCATAAAGGCTAAAGGTCTTTTGTTTCATCTTTCTCAGGCATCCTGTTTTCCTTGGTGGTGATACTGTATGTTATCTGGGTCCAGGCAGTGGCTGACATGGAAAACTACAGAAACATGAAAATGAAAGACTGCTTGGATTTCACACCTTCTGTTTTCTATGGCTGGTCATTTTTTCTGGCCCCAGCAGGGATATTTTTTTCTTTGCTCTCTGGATTACTTTTTCTCGTTGTTGGACGGCATATTCAGGTACATCACTAATCAAACTGTTGCCACTGAGGTTTTCTTGGGATATTTTAAGAGAGCATATTTTATTTTTATTTGTTCAGGGATCCTAGCATAGAATTAATTGATGCAAATTTTCAGTTGCTATTTGAATTAATCATTTTACCTGTGACTTTTCTCTAATAAGAAGATTTTAGAATCTCTTCAGACATCAACATGTTTCCATCTATTCAAGTGCTATCAAGAACCTATTTTTTTAGGGAGCAGGTAACATGGCTTCCTTGCATTGCACTTGTTAGGGTTTACACAGGTTACAAATATATAAAGGTGTAATAATAGCATATTACTATCAGCTGGGGCAAATCAAGATTTGATTTGAAGCCTCCCTCTTGGCACTCACTTCTGTTGCTACTTTAAAAATAATATTTGTAGAATAATTAAGAATGGGTAAAATGTCAAGGAATTTTCTCCATTTTCTCTCCACACACATTCATATGACTCCACACATATGACTTCTGTGAGCAAGTTATTCATTTAAAAAGAGGTAGCAGTTGTTCTTGTAGTGAGAGCCATATGAATTCATCAGTTAAAATGGGCCACAACAAAACCTTTTCCACTTTCTTATCAACAGTAGTTTGATCACCTAATTTATTCACTTAATTGTGCATGCTTACATAACACTGAACTACATTTAAAAGTAGCAAGTCTGTACATCAAAATACATATAATGCAGATTGGATTTTTAGAACTTAAGGTGGGTTAATTATATATTTAATATGGTTGAAAATATGTAAAGCCAAGAACCTTAGCTTATTGCATAATTCTATTTGATATTTTAAATTTCCCATTTAAAATTATATTGCTACTATGTTCAGCTTATGAAAATTTATTGATTAAATGTTTTTAATATGCACAAAATACTTCCATATGAGAGTTGATAGCCTCATTTTATTGAAGTCTATGAAATAATAACTTTTTCAAGATTTTATGGGTAGTAGTTCTTTCGATGATTTGATTCCCTTAATTATTGTCCCTCAATTTCTTCATCTTTACAACAGGAATTAAACATTTATAAATTTTCTATTTCCTTTAACCTCTTTGGAAAAAAAAAGCTTGTCCTTTTGCAAGGGGTGGGGATAGAATAATTCTGTATAGACACTCTACATATCAAAGATGTTTGCTTGGCACTAACTTTGGTTGAGATCAAATCCGTCTGGCCATTTTCTCATTTTGGTAACCTCCACCATGGAGGAGTTTGTGTTCATGAAGGAACAAAGTCCAGCATGGTGTAAGCTTTTACCAGGAGCAGCATTTCACTGCACAGCTGGGGTAGATACAGAGGCAGGACTCAGAGACAGACTGAGTGGCACCTAGGAGATTCTGTGGAGTAAAAGTACCGTGCTTCCTTCCAGCTGGCCCATGGTGATAGATTGCCACGGTCTTCTCCACAAAGCTTGTATTTCCCATTAGCCTTGTTTCAACTGGAGGGATTTCTGGAAGAAGAGAAAAGGCCTGAGGTATCTCCAGAATCATGAGTGACATTTTAGTGTTTAGGGTCAGATAGGACTTGCATATAGTAAAAACAAAGAAACAAAATAAAAATACAAAAAAACTTTTGGACTTTTAACTGGTTTCTCAAGCCACTTCATTTGTATTATAAAAAATTTGTGGTACTTTCATTTGTCGTTTTCTGTTTCATTTTTATATTGTTTCATTTAGTTATTTGCTTTTGGCTTGATGATTAGAAAAATAATTGTGGGTTTCACTCTACATATTGACTGTGATATTAAATTGTGGCATGCCATTAAATTCTCCAGATGATGTTAGCTGTATTTGATTAATTCATGTCATCTGTAAATACAATTCCGTTTTGTAGAACTTTGGAATGGAGCCTTTTTCTGGTGTATTTTATGTCACTTAAATTTCACATACAAGTTGCTTTCAGTAAAGGTTTGAATATTTATAAATTTCAGACAGTTACTCTCACTTTCTAATGTACTCATGAGGCTACCATATACTTATCATAAGGCAATTGTCTGAATATTTGATGTGCATGACACTTTTACACAGATCCACATTTTAGAAGTATTCTGTGGCTGCAATGCATCAATTATATTAATTCTAATGCATTTCCTGATCTACCACCAGCAACTGCAGAAGGGAGAAAATTGAGTTGTGTTTACTTTCATGAGTAAAATATACTTAAAAATAGCAGAGTATATGGTATATTTTTTGTAATGGTCTTATGTCTGATTTGGGATAGTATGTTTTCTTTTATTTATCCCCTGACTATGTTAATTAATTTTCAGAAGATTCCAAAGTGTTGAAATCTTGCATGTTGATTTTGCATCATAAACTTTTAAATTGACAAATACAATATTTTTGTGACCATTTTAGAAGCTCAAAAAGAAAGAGTGAGTCATGCCCCTGGATTTTGGTGAGAACTGTGATCCCTCCATGTGACATTTGTTCAGTGGATTTCATTTTTGGGGGCAGAAAGTAGCAAGCATATGCATTGACAGTGGCTGGGAAAACCACACAGAGAAGCTGAATGATGGCGTTTAATTTGGGGGCTGAGGGTAGGACTTAAAAATACTATCGTGTGCTCTTGCTGGTCATTTAGTCATTTTTATGACTAATCTATGACATGTATTTATTGAATATGAAAATTAATTACACTTATAATGGTATATGTTAGAGGAGGTGTCAATACTTGGTAATTATCATCTGTCATCAACACATGGGTGTGTGCATGTACTATAATTATAAGTTTGGGTAGAAAGAGATAAAGTGAATGATCAAAGTGAATATATTTGAGATAAGCAAATTCTAAAAAATCAACTTCTCTTGGAGAACAGTAATATAGCTGTATTTCCCTGAGTGCTATTTTAACTATTTAACTCCACTGATGATGGTCTACTCAATACAACACAAAACTCTATATGTTCATGAAAGTAGCCAAATTAGGCTTATAAGAGACTTGGAACATCAGAAGAGTTAGGCAGAAGTGGGATGCTAGTAAAAGTAAGCTGGGCATATATGTGGCTAGCATTGTGGGGAAAAACCAACAGTGTTGGCATTATGTGGCAAGATATACAAGGACTGTCTGGAAAAAGTCCAGCCACGTTAATATAATGAGAATTGTTTACGCAACATCTATGTAACCTGGCAGCCAAGGAGAATGGACTGGAATGCGCCTGTGTGAACAATGAAGACTTCACTGTACTAGGCACTGGAGGTGGTAGATGCCATTGAGTGAGCATAAATACTGTGTGGCCATCCCATTCAAAATGACTGAGTACAGCAACAAATCTGCATCAAATTTTGGGTTAAACTTGAACATTCCTCTGCAGAAACTATTTGGATGATTCAGAAGGTTTTCAGGGATGACATAATGGGAGCAGTGCAAATAAAAGTGTGACATAAGCACTTCAAAGATGGTTGGTCGAGAGTCTGTTGAAAGTGATCCAAGTTCTGGAAGGCCTGCAACAAACAGAACACCTGAGAATGTTGAATGTGTACAGGCTGCAGTCAACAAAGATTGGTGACCCAGCTGACTCAGCCCTCGTAAAGCCCGTATTTGGTGCCCTGTGATTTCTGGCTTTTCCCAAAACTAAAACCACTTTTGAAAAGGAGGAGATTTCAGTCCTTTGATGAGATTCAGGAAAAATGTCATAACAGGGCAGCTGATAGTGATTCCAACAAAGGATTTTGCAGAGTGTTTTGAACAGTGGAAGAGACATTGGGGAAACTGTGTGAGGTCCCAAGGAGCCTACTTTGAAGGGGACTGAGACATCACTGTCCTATGTGGAATGTTTCTTGTATCTTGTATCATCTTCAGTAAATGTCTCTATTTTACATAGTGAATGGCTGGATACTTTCTAGACAGACCTTAAAGGGTAAGGATATGGGTCCTCAATTTTATTTTGGTTGGACTCTATCAGGAATTTGGGGCCTCACGCAAAAGAGATGATAATAGCAACTAAATTTTTATTGATTGTTTGAAGGAATTAAATATATTGAGGCATTTTCTCAGTAGTGATCAGTGTGGGCAGAAAAATTCCAACAAAAACTAAGGAAGAAAGTACATGAGATATGTTAAAAACCAAAGAGCATGGAAAAAATATTATATATCACACATATGATAATAAGCATAAACTAAACAAAGGACTATTTAACCTGGTTAGCAGGAAAAGAGGAAAGAAGGAAAAGTATCCAATTAGCATTTAGCATTTCTGAACTAGCAAATCAAGGCAAGTACTAGGAGCTGTGTCTTCAGGAACATTAGAGTCCTCCTGGACCAGTCATTATTAGAGAGAACAAGCCTAAAATGACTGTAGAGAAGTACTAAATTCCATTTTGCTTTTTGAAGGGCCATTTTTCTTACCAGTGTGTAGCTGATAATGAAACATTGAAGAGGTAATTGGGTGGTTGAACTTTTTCATAATGTGTGAAGAATCACATGGTATGTCTAATAATTCCATTTTGCATATACATGTGTATATATATATATATATAGTTTATCTATATAATATGTCAATAAGTATATTAGAATGATTTTGAGTTCTTTAAGTAATGATGATTTTTCTGGTTCACATAAATGGCAGTGATAGTCTAAACTGGCTTTATGAAATAAACATGGTTGGAGTAATTGATAACTTGCACTGATCCTGAATATTATGTATATAATTTAGCATTGGGGGATGACTCACTGGGGTAAGTACACACAGCAAAAATTTTAATATTCTCATTCTTCTGGGAGTCCAGGAATTATTCTGACATATTCACTGAAAATGTATATGGTTCCTCCTTTATGTGGCAATTTCTTTTTTTCTTAGCATTTCTTTCTCCATTCCTCCTAAAAAGAAATAGTTGCTGTTAAAAAAAATCACCAATGCCTGCAGATAGCATTGACATTGAAAACTGTCTAAATAAATAGGTGTTTAAACAATATAGCTTTTAATGAGTGCTATGGCCCTGGTCAGTGTGGCTCATTTGGTTGGAGCACCATCCCGTGCACCAAAATGTTTGATTCCCAGTCAGGGCACATGTCTAGGTTGTGAGTTCAATGCCTGGTCAGGGTGCACATGCAGGAGGCAACCAATTTATGCTTCTTTCTCACATCAATGTATCTCTCTTTTCTCTCTCTCTCATTCTGACTCTCTTTCTCCCTTCCCCTTTCTCTCAACTGAAAATAAAATAAACCTTTAAGAAATAGAAGAGTGATATGTAAAGAATTATGTTTACTGCCTTATATTTCGGTATCGTGTATACAAAGACACTATAAAAAATATTGATATATTGTCTTTACTCCCCCCAAAATACAAGAAAACTTTTTTCTTAATAATTTTATGGGTGTATGTAAATATTTGAAGAGATGTCAAACAGAAAGTTGAATTAATCTGTGTGTGTGTGTGTGTATACACATATACCCAAATACCTATGTATGTACTATGTGGTATGTATACATATCTACATAAAGATTTGGATAAAGCTGTATCTATGTATATATATGTAATTATCAATGGATTCACATCTGAATATACACACATAGTTTTCACATCTATAATGTATATATGTATGTATATAAGAAATGCCTGTGTTTAAATTATACACATATTCAAATATCACTCTCTCTCAGGCATACCTGAGCTTTAACTTTTGCTGAAAAGCAAGGTACATTTCATCTTTAGGATATTGCAGCTTCTTCGAGTAGTGAGCTGAGTACAGAGGAGACACAGTGACTACTATCACAACCTCTCTCTTTCTTTTTTTTTTTTATCCAGGGCATATGTGGTGATACATGTGCAATGGACTGATCATGTCTTACCCTATGCATGCCCATAGACAATGGCCCTGTTTTGTGGAATTTTCTAGCAATGCATACCTAGTAATTGATAGCCAATGATACATATTTTTTATAGTTAGAAATTTTGTTTTATAAAAGATTTCCTTTCTAAAGCAACATACCTTAATTAGTACATTCATTTAATTCCCCTGCAGAAGATTAAGTCAAGTGGATTTCCCCTGGACTCCTTATTTGTGTCACCTTAAGGAGGATCTCCTGGTATGGTGGGAAAAGTGAGAAATCTGTCTGAAGACCTGCATTTTAATCCTGGATTTTAAACTTATAACTTGACAAGTTATTTAATTTCACCTTGGCTCAGTTTCTTCATCTAAAATATTCACAAGCTTATTCAACAGTAGTAAATGTGCCACAAATGATGCTATATATTGCGTATATTTTACTAAGCAAGACAGATACGCTGTTTTCATTCTTCAAGCTAGGATTCAAGGAAGGGATATAGGCAACAAATAAGTAAACAAAAGATAATTGAATTTATAAATTGTGATAAATATCTAAAGTACACAAGACATAATGGCAGATAAAACCATAATTGATGGATAGTCAAGGAAGTCTTTGTAAGGAAAAAATTCTGAACTGAAGGAGAGAATTCTGAGTATACTGACACATAAAAGATATGAAAAGTGGCAGTAAGAACTTTTCATGGAGGGGCACCAGTGAGAAAGAAGACCTGAAAGTAGAAAAGGGCTTGACTTACTCTAGGAACAACAAAGTGGCTTATATGGCTGGATGCTAAAGGGGAGAGGTTTGTGGTGATGTTAGAGAAGTAAGAAAGGCCCAATAATTCAGAGCCCTTGAGCCATTATAGTATATTTTGAAGAAAAACTTGAAAGGATTTGCTGGTGGCTTGAACATGAATGAAGAGAGGGACAAATCAAAGCTCTCTTCAAAATTTTCTGGCTTAAACAAATTAATAAATGGAGAAAACTGGAATAAGGCAGGAAAGGAACAGGCTTGGGGATAAAAGGAATCCATGTTTCATTTTGATGATGTAATGTATGAGATGTCTATAAAATGCCTAAGTTGTAATACTGGTGTACAACTGGATATGAGTGTCCAGAGCTCTGAGGAGTAATCTGAGATGGAGACTCACATTTGGAAGTCACCAAATTTAAAGTCACTGGAAAGATGATATTTTTATGAAGGATGAATAGAGAGAGTAACTCTCTTTACACTGGAACACCCAACATTTAGAGAATGAGTAGAAAAATGAGCCAGAAGAGAGGCCAAAAATAGACATAGAAGCATTAATGGGAGATGTGATATGACGGGGAGAGAATGTTTTGAGAAGAGACTGAGTTTTCATCTTTACCAGCTCTGCTGAGATATGACCAAGACAGGGA